CGGAGAGATATAAAGCTCATTACTTGCTTTCATTGTGGATGCCCTTTTTTTAAAAATAATTGTAGATATCTATTAATTAAGTGCGCCTTTGGACATTTAATAGTCAATTTTAGGTCTATTTTTTCGTGGGGCCTGCAAGAGAATTTCTCTGGTTTCGGGAATATATTTAACTAGGCGTTGCTCCGCGCTTTGCGCGAATTGTTTGATGAATTTATGATAAAAGATGATGCGTGGACACATTCAAGCAAAAAGACGACTTACTTATTGGCATATTATTAGATTATATTAATGAGAACTGGGGAAATTACAAAAAAATATCCTAAATTTATTGCACTTGTGCCAACTCAGCCGTAAACCTTTTGATTGTGCCCACTGAGTTCTAAACCTTTTGACAATATTGTGATTGAGCCTCGGCTGTGGCTGGTCGCTAGCCGTTGCCGAGGCCCGGTGACCGATGGAGGAAGGAGGAAAATGAAAAAGAAAGAAAATAAAAAATTATAAAAATTGAATTATAAAAAAATTATAAAAATTATCCACGTCAGTGCCGTCCGTAGCATGTAGGACGGCCAACGTCTACGTCAGCAATTTCGGCTAAAATTGGCTAGAATGACTAATTTGGCAAATTATCAGAAGGTTTATAACTGAATTGGCATAAGTGCAATATGTTTATGACTTTTTTAGTAATTTTTCCAATTATAATGTTAACTTAATATCAAGAATTTAGAGCAACTTAAATAAACAGATCAATAAACATGATATTGTGGCCTATAGTAGAAATAACTTATAAATATCTTCACAGTAAAGATAAAGATATTCTTAAACATAAGGAAGTGACTACTTAAATGAAGAAACTATCAAGAAACAAGATATTGATGGGACTAAACTTCCTCCATAAGTCAATGGACACATGTTTCACACAATTAGCATACCAGATTTGATTGAGCCACGTGCAATAACTTTGTGTACCAACGATTTGATTCCCATTTGATTGTGGAAGAGCGATAAGAAAACATAACGAACGAATTCTCGATGATGCTAGTGTCACTAAGAAGTAAGGAATTTTGGTTTATTAAGTGACATGTCATACTTCCAATGATTAATAAAAAATAAGTGGGACCCCAACACAAAGCATTTTCGTATGATTGAATACTCAACAAGAGTTTTAACACATGTTAAAGTACATCAAATTAGGTAAACCATATTATTCGCGTGCCTATATTGGTCTCCACAAAATTGAAAATAGAAAATGACACAAATAGTCCCTGAACTTTGGTCCAATTTGCAATGTCATTCCTAAACTTTTAATTTATTTAATGTGGTCAATGAACTTTAGTCCAATTTTTAATATGGTCCCGGAACTTTAAAACATTTTCATATAGTTTAGGGACTACATTAAACATTTTCCTATAGTTTAGGGACTATATTGAACAAATTAAAAGTTTAGACACAACATTACATCTTAGGCTAAAGTTCAGGACCACATTGCACAAATTAAAAGTTCATGACAATGTGCAAATTGGACCAAAATTCAGAATTCATTTATGCTACTATCCCTTCTGACTTAGCATTCTCAAAGGGTTGCTTAGGGGTTAAGCATGCATGTCTTCTTCGTAGAAAACTTAGTATTTGACAACCGCACTTGCGCATGAACCCGCATTTTGGAGTATAAATCAATGACGATTAGCCAGATGCTCAAAGAATATTTTGGAATGGAACCCGGACACCCTCACTCGAGCAATAAATAAACAAACTGGTAGATTTGGACATTGAGTGGAGTATGCATCACTTTTGCATTGCTTCAGTCCATCTAAATTAGCCCAACTAAAAAGACCAAGGCCCCTTCATGCAGCAGGTCAATCATAAATCTTGCCTTCTCTTTAGACATGACCATATGAGTCTCGTACCTACCACGGATCTCTCCTCCTTATTCACCTCTATGTATATACACACGATGTTTTAGTTGTGACGAAACTCACGCACAATTAGAAAAGTAACTCGTCATTTTTTTTTCTTAGGGCATATCAATGCATTAATTAGTAACTCGAGTGGTAGAACAACTGTAACCGTGTTCATTTTGTGGGGAAGTTACACTACTTTAGGCGTTGTACACATTTGCCCCCAAACTTTCAACTGTCACATAATATCTCCTGAAATTTAATTTTATTTCAGCTATTAAACCTCCTTTATTATTTTTTTGTTAAAATGTGCAATACACATGACTTTTAATGGGTAAATATAGTTTCATCTCATTTTTTACGGAAATCTTTTCTTTACCTTGAATTGCTACAAAAATTGAAAAAAATATAGAAAATGAGAGCAAAATGTATCAAGTAAATGTTAGTTCTAGAAAAATAAAGTATTGATATAATATTAAACAAAAAAATGTTAAAATTTGATAAATATAGCTGCTTTAATAGCTATGAATGATAAAATAATTAACAGAAAATGAATAAAAAGGAAAAATGCCTCTATAGCAAAAAGGTACAATGAAAAAAGAATGGTTACTCATTATAGGGTTAATTAGTGTAATAAGTGATTGATAAATAACTATATTAAAAAAATTATTAAAAAAACGGTGTCCTCAAGTCATAAAAGGAAATGATCAATCAAAATCTAAGGTGATACTTTTAAAAAAAATTTGTTAATCAATCAATTTGCATTAATTAACCATTTAAAAACACATAATGGATATCCAATTTTTGTAATTTTCCCTTTTTGTTACTAAGGGATTTTTCCTTTTTACACAATTGTGTTTCTTTTTTATTAAAATACCTTATTAGGTCTCAAATATATTCATCAAATATTAAATATTTTATATTTTAATATTATAAGTGATAATTTTTTCTCATATTAATATTTTAGTAAATATATTTTCTCCATTTTTCTTTATTTTTTATTTTTTTATATAAATCAATGGTAAAAGAGAGATTTCCTTAAAAGAGTTAAAAGTTTGGGGACAAACGTCTACTACCCCCAAAGTTGGGGAGTGTTTTGAGTAATTCCCATATTTTACTGAAAAGTTAAATCCAAGAATTTATGAATCAATTAGGATATACTAATTACTCTAAACCAAATCAATCTTCGATCGGTGCTTCTCTAATACAACTCACATGCGCGCTCAACCCTATTAGTGGTCCAAGGCTATAATCATGTGTGGTGAGTCGAGGAATGACCTCTCAGAAAGCGGTAAAATTACCAAAATAGTCATAAACCTCTTACAATTATATCAATTCAGTTATAAGCCTTTTTTGTGTCAATTCAAATTTAAACATTTTGTATTTGTGCCGTTTCAATCCATCTAGCCAATTTTGGCCAATCAATGCTGACATGGACGCTGTCTGGCCAATGCTGATATGGCAATTTTTTTATTTTTTTTGAATTTTTTATTTTCTTTTTCCCTTTTTTTTTCTTTCCTTTCCCTTCATCTTCAACCTCTAGCTGGTTCGGCGATCGAGCCGGCGACCAACCAGAGGCGGGGGCCGGCAAGGTCGGCCCCGCCAGCTACTAGTGGGACTCGCCCTCGCCCAACCATCGACAAGCCGACACTAGTGGTTGGCCAAGGGTGAGCCTCATGAGCGACGGCGAGGACGAGCCTCATCATGGCTGGACGACTCATCGGCGGCGGCGATGGGGAGATCGGAACGGAGTTCGGAAAAGTCGAGGCCTTCGGCGCCGTTGTCCTTGCTCATGATGGACGGCACTCACCCTTGCCTAGCCACTGGCATCAACCTCACCCAGCCATGGCGAGGCTCGTCCTTGCCGTCACTTGCGAGGTCGAGCCTCGCTAGGGACGAACGAGGCTCACCCTTGCCAACACCTAGCGGGCCCGACCTTGCCATCTCTCACCTCTGGCCAGTCGCTCGACTGACGACTTGCTAGAGATTGAAGATGAAGGGAAAGAAAAGAAAAAAAATAGAAAAGAAAAAGAAAAAGAAAAAGAAAATAAATAAAAATTCAAAATTATAAAAATATATATATTAAAAAATTATCACGTTAGCATTGGCCGGATGGCTAGCGTCCATCTTAGCGCCAGTCAGCCAAAATTGGTTGGATGGACTGAAACGGCACAAATGCAAAAGTTTAGGACTTAATTGACACAAAAAAAAGGTTTAGTACTAAATTGGCATAATTGTAATAGGTTTAGGACTGTTTTTGTAATTTTCCTCTCAGAAAGCATATGCAAAGTGATAGATAAGTAAAAATTCCAATCTAGAACGTCGTGTTGCTGGAAGGGACTTCAATCCAAATGTAATCCAATAAGGAAACTGAAGGGTGGAACCTTAAATAAAGTAAAAGACTTATCCCTAGAAGTCATCATCTTCTAGAGCTCTTGACAATCCCCTCCGGAAAGAATTCTCTTCGTCCTAATGCAGGGTACCCAAGTAAAAGTTCCTACATAAAGTATTGCGGCACACCCTTTCAAATGCATGGTCGAGATTTATCTCGAAAGCTAAGTTTCTCGACGAAAGAAGTGAAGGGTCCTTTTCTTGCTTGGCGAAGCAAGTTAACATCATCATCCAGACGATGCCACCCCCTTTGGCTCCAAGCCTTATCCAAAGTTGACATTCCCAAATCTATCCCACGCCCTCTCTTCTGCTCTATCAAAGAACTTTGGCACTCCCAAAAGAAAGAAAACAACATTCTCTTCCAACTGCAATTCCGTACAATGCTAATTATTCACACATTTTGCACCCCTATTAACGAAAACCCACTTTCGGCAAATTGTCGTGCCTCTCGCGTCCCACAGATTATCGTCAATTCCATGAACAATCCCGGAATAAATGTCGCCAAGAGATCGAGGGGTGTTCTCGGGAATCGCATCAAATATCTCGAAAGAACCTTCGCCTTTCTCATCACCATCACCACCATCTTCTTCTCTTCTCTTCACTCCTCTCCTCTCCTCTCCTTTCCTTTTGTCCTCCACTTCGCTTTTAATATTCAATATCAAGCCAATATCTGAAGATGCTCCCCTCCTTCAGTATATATAAAGGTCCATGACACGCAATGTTATTGCATCACAACTCGATTGCACAACATCAAACCTCCATAAGTAAAACAGAGAGGTCCCAAACCCTAACCGATCTTCTTTGTAGAGTACTCGTCGTTTTTCTCTGTCTTTTCGACAACTTCATTTTGCTACATTCGAAAGAAAATCTACCCAGAAACGACCCCCCCCCCCCCCCCCTCCCTCTCTCTCAAATCCTAGCTAGTTAAAAGTAGCTCGAAAAGGCTAACTCAAGATACCATTTGATTAGAGACATGGATAGGGTGTCGAGGCTGGCGTCGCAGAAGGCGGTGGTGATATTCAGCAAGAGCTCGTGCTGCATGTGCCATGCGATCAAGAGGCTGTTCTACGATCAGGGGGTGAGCCCTGCGGTCCACGAGCTCGACGAGGACCCACGGGGCAAGGAGGTGGAGAGGGCGCTGATCAGGCTCGGGTGCAACCCTGCGGTTCCCGCGGTCTTCATCGGAGGGAAGTTCGTCGGGTCCGCCAATGCCGTCATGACACTTCAGCTCAATGGCTCGCTGAAGAAGATGCTCATGGAAGCTGGAGCTTTGTGGCTCTAGCGAGAGAAGCCGGTGACATGCTGCCACCCAAAACATAAAGTTTGCTAATAGCTTGGAAAATAAGCTTAACAATCATAGCTCAACACTCGTATGCGTATTATCAATATATGTAAGTCCCTTGCATGTGCGGCTTTTAGTGGATGAAAACAGATTCCTAGAAATGCGGAAAGACGGAAACAAATTCCTAAACGACATAAAACTCGAACTAACGAGTATCGCCCAAAAAATCGTATACGAAAACGTGCACCCGTATAAACTTGAATCACCGATCGTTAAAGTACATCACCAATAGGGACGTACCTTGTTTCTCACGGATTAAATGTTCCTTTTGCAACGTCGAGAGAAAACAATCCTTAGATCGTTGAACAAAATCCCTTCTTCTTTGTCCTTTTGTGAGAATAAGTTTCTAATAATGAAAAATGCAAACCCACCCACACTCTTACGTGTGTTCTCACTTTGTGTCTGACAATAACTATGAAGTGCGTTATTTCCTTTCATGGGCTGGGTTAGCCCATCATGAAGCCCATCATTCACAAAGAAAACACATCATCTCCCACTCACACATGGTGGGCTAAACATTAACTCTCTCTTTTATGTAATGTTCATATCAACAAATAATCCGTGCGTACGGCATACTTGAGAGCTCGTTGCTATGCATTTATTAGGAACACATAACAGCTCAAATTGGGCATAACGTTTTCGAGTAGATATAGTATGCAGGCACCTAGATCAATCTGTCACATTTATATCTCTTTTGATCTCTTTTAGTATCTCGTATTGTATTCACAACTATGATTTACTTAAAATCATAATTGGTCGACCTGTGAATAAAAAAATAGAATGTGACATCATAAATAAATTGATCTTCCTCTTTCCTTAAACCTCTCTATTTGAGTCCAGCTCGCTTTTCTAGAAATGCCCCATTAGATCGAATCATTCATGATCATTGGCAACACCCTAAGATAGCAAACACTGAATAGAAACTTTGAGAATAAGTTAGAGTCGTGAGGGCACTGAATGAGGAACTCATATCCTCAAGAGTCTCACACGGAATAAAGTTGAGATCAAAAACTTTTGCCACTCTTATCGGTCGTCTCATGCATACGTAGTATGAAATACGTATTACGGTATTAACTCCTTTCCCGTGGAGCGTATGTCTTTACATTCAATACTGTACAGATGATAGTTCAGACATACTCAATGTCTAGACTTGAGTTCACGTATCTACTCTTCTAAAGAATCCATTAGAACTCACATCTGGCATCAAAGACAGATAAAGTAAAATATGTGGGCTATTTTACTTTCGGACATAGTAAATGTTATGTCCTCATCTTAGCACTTAGCTAAGGCGACATTTATATTTTAAGCTTGAGCTCTCGATTATCACCTAGATAATAAGCTTAAAATTGTCTCATCTCTATTTATCACACGATAAATAGAGCGATTACTCGTGTGAGTGGGTTAATCTTATCTGTCCGACATACTTTCTTGACATAATACACTAAGTATTAAGATGCATAAATATAAAAAAATTCATAGGCATTAACAAGATATAACAATTTCATTTAAATGTGAACATTCAGGGAAATTACAATATTCAGTACATTAGCATCTACGCAGTCCTAGAGATTTTACATGACCATTGAAAACATCTCTAGGAATTGGCTTCGTCATAGGATCTGCTATCATTCTATGCGTAGATATGTACTGCAAGTTCACATCCTTTCGTGCTACCATATCTTTAACAAAATTATACTTGGTATCTATATGTTTGGTCTTGCCATGATATTTCGGATCCTTGATGTATGTTATTGCTGCTTGGCTATCACAATTGATTAACAATGAACTTGCAGCATACTCAACAACACCTAAATGATCCAAAAATCTCTTAAGCCAAACTCCCTCTTGTACTGCTGCTGACAATGCCACAAACTCGACTTCCATGGTGGATAATGCTATACATGTTTGTTTCTTACTGCTCCAAAATATGGCGCCATTATTCAGTAAGTAAACAAATCCAGAGGTAGATTTCCTTTCATCTAAATCTCCTCCCCGATCGGCATCCGAGTAGCCTTCAAGTGCGATCCTTTCCTTGATAACTCGGAGAATAATCAGCGAGTACCCTTTAGATACCTCATGATTCTTTTGACGGCTTTCCAATGTGCTTGACCCGGATTGGATTGGTATCTACTTACCATTCCAACTGCAAAACATATGTCAGGTCTTGTATACATCATAGCGTACATTAAACTCCCAACAGCACTAGCATAAGGAACGCGTTTCATTTGTTCCTTTTCTTGTGGAGTCTTAGGACACAACCTACGGCTCAATCCTTCACCTTTTGCAATAGGAGTATCCATGGGTCTACAGTCATGCATACAAAATCGTTCAAGAACTTTGTTGATATAAGTCTCTTGCGAAAGAGACAATAATCTCTTGGAACAATCTCTTGAAATCTTAACTCCAAGAATATATGCAGCTTCACCCATATCTTTCATCTCAAAGTTGGACGATAACCAACTCTTAACAGTATTAACCAACTCCATATTGCTTCCGGCAATCAGTATATCATCAACATATAATAATAAAATCACAAATTGATCTTTGGATCTTTTGATATACACGTAATGATCTTCATCAATCATTGTAAAATCAAACGCCACTATGGCATTATGAAAACGTATATACCATTGTCTCGAAGACTGCTTAAGGCCATATATCGATCTTAGAAGTCGAAATACTTTTTGTTCTTGGCCTTTCACAACGAAGCCTCTTTGGCTTGCTCCATGTAAATTTCTTCTTCTAATTCTCCATTTAAAAGCAGTCTTTACATCCATTTGATGTAATTCAAGATCCATGCTTGTCACTATTACGAGAATAAGGCGAATTGAGATAAATCTCACTACGGGAGAAAAGTTTCTTCATAATCAATTCCTTCTGTTGATTATACCCTTTCGCCACTAGGCGAGCTTTATATCTTTCTATTGAGCCATCGGATTTGCGTTTTATTTTGAGAACCCATTTATTCCCAATAGCTTTGCGTCATTACGGAAGATTAACCGGTTCCCAAACATGGTTTGACTTTATTGACTCCATTTCTTCTTTCATTGCAATCATCCATTTTTCTTTGTTAGGGCAATTTAGAGCCTCATTTACATTCCTTGGCTCGTCTTCATTTTGTAGAGCGATCATGAAAGTTTCCCCTTCAATGTCAAAACGTCGTCGGGGAATACTTTGCGACTTGTTCGCCTATGGGAGATTGTACACGTGGTATATCATTCTCCATTATGCTCCCACTTGGATTAGATAATGACGGAATCGTCTCATCAAAAGGTTGCAATTGAGATTGAGTCGAATTCAATTCCTCACTTCTCACATTGCTTCCACTTGGACGAACTTTATCGATTTCACTATTAGAATCCAAGGTTTCAAATAGTGAGTAGTTCTCACCTATTTCGCCCTTCTTAGGAAACTCATTCTTTAAGAATGTGACATCTCGTGATTCAAATTCGGTTATACTCCCACTTTCTTGCTCACCTATAAATACATATCCTTTTGAGGTTTCCGAATACCTTATGAAGATACTCTTCTTACCTCTAGGACCTAATTTCCCATACTTATGAGAAGATTCATGTGTATAAGCGGCACAACCCCAAGGTTTGAGAAAACTCAAAACGGGTTTTCTACTTGTCCATAACTCATACGGAGTGAAAATAAGCGATTTAGAAGGCACACGGTTAAGTATGTAGGCAGCGAGTTAATAATGCGTCACCCCAAAGGTGATTGGTAAGTTAGCTGCGCCATCATGGACCTAACCATTTCTAGTAGGGTTCTGTTTCTCCTTTCCGCAACACCATTTTGTTGAGGAGTATAGGGAATAGACAACTGTCTTTCTATTCCCTTTTCATCACACAAATTTCTGAACTCATCAGATAGATATTCTCGACCTCGATCGGATCGCAATGCTTTTATTTTCTTATCTAATTGATTTTCCACCAAGTTCATAAATATCTTGAAGCAACTAAAAGCCTCAGTTATGAGAAATCAAATAGACATATCCAAATCAGTATAATCATCAATAAATGTGATAAAATAAACAGCCCCATGTCTAGCCCTCACATTCATTGGACCACAAATGTCAGAATGGATTAATTGCAAAGGAAATTCAGCTCTTGTTCCTTTTCCAAATGGTTTCCTTGTTGTTTTCCCAGCTAGGCAGTATTCACAAGTGGGCAAATCGACTTTTTCAATATTGCCCATTAAGCCTTCTTTGGCTAATCTATTCATTCGTTGTTGGCCTATATGGCTAAGCCTAGCATGCCATACGTTCACATCATTATCACACGAAGTAGAAGACGTGAAGTGGGAATAACAAACATTGACATTTACAGAATCAACATCCAGTACAATAAAACCATCTAGAAAATAACCACAACCATAATAACTCGTACCTAAATACAAGTCTACACCATTGTTATGGAAGTTCAAATTAAAACCAAGTCGAATCAACACTAAAACAGACACTAAGTTCGACGAATTTCCGGAGCATATAATACATCATGTAGGAACAAAGTCGTCCACCACGCATAATTAACGGCAGGTGCCAATTCCTTTAACCTCGGCTCGAGTTGTTCCCTACATAAATCCATTTAGTTCCCATTGGAACTCGTCGAATTCTACGAAGGCTTCTCTATCCTTCGCTACATGGTCTGTTGCTCCCGAATCTACGATCCACAAAGGATTTGATTCAGTTAGAAATATAGAACTTGATACATAAACAAAGTTTTCAATAATACAAGATGAGTTAACCTTCTTTGGCTCACGACAATCGCGAGCAAAGTGGCCTTTCTTGCTACAGTTGTAGCACTTCACTCTTGACATCTTTTTCTCATGAGGACGCTTTCCTCTTTGGTGTTGTTCATCTCTTGGTTTCTTCCCCGAAGAACTCGTTCCCTTGCCTTTCCATTTCATAAACCTTTCGACACGCTTGCGCTTGGAGCTCGAAGCCCCATGTGAGCTAGAACCAGCATAATAGATGTCGGTTTCTGGTTTCGCCGCCAGGAGGCGATCCTCTTCTAACTCAAGATGGCGCATGGCATCTTCAAAGGTTTTGATGTTTTCAT